GGGGCTGGGTGGTGGCACTAGAATCTTACTGAGCTTTGGGGAGAACATTTATGTTCACATTAAATTAGAAAGAGCCGTTAGACACTAAGTGGAGTGTGAAGTGTAGGCTGCTGTGTACAAGGCAGAGGTTGGGGCAGCAGGGGTGGGTCCAGGTGTGGGAGGCATGGTACATGGACGGTACTTAAACTGTGGCGCTGGATGAGACCACTGGACCGGAGTGTGTAGATGAGAAGAGGCGTGCCCAGGATGAGCCCTGGCGTTCCCCGGTGCTGCTGCAGACTTGGGAAGCCCCCTCGGCGGATGGCTCTATGACGACATGAATGAAGCCCTTTCAGATGGTTGGGCCTGTGCCTAGAAACCAGATCCTTCTGAAAGCCTGGTTTCCTGCTGCATCTCTTTGTCAGATGAGCTGCTTCAGGAACAGCGTGCTGACATGGACCAGTTCACCGCCTCCATCTCCGAGACACCTGTGGACGTCCGGGTGAGCTCCGAGGAGAGTGACGAGATCCTGCCATTCCACCCCTTCCACCCCTTCCCGTCCTTACCTGAGAGTGAAGGTGTGTATGACTGACACCGTGGCTTCCTGGCAGCGGGGGCAGGTCGGGGTCGGGGGTGCAGGTACAAATTGGAGCTTGGTTTCTTGAAACTGAGACGAACTGGGGAGGTTGTTTCCCTGGTGAGGGTCAGGGCGGGAGAGGGAGGTGCTCACGGCTTTCAGATAGCTGGCGTAGTAATATTTCTCCATTCCAGAGATGGAGTGCTTAACACCCACTGTTTTTTCCTGGTCTCGTCCACTAGCTCAGTTTGTGCAACACCTTACACTTTGTGGTTTAAATAGCACTTCCATTTTATATTGTGTCATCTTTTTGTAACAATCTTGGGAGGTAGGGAATGGAGAGGCCCAAGAGGGTAAGTGACTCACCCACGGTCACATCTTGGCATGAGGCTGGGACAGGAGCTCTGTCCTCTGACTCTGAGGCAGTCTCTCCTCTACCCCCTCGTTGGTTCTTCACATCTAAAAGTATCTCTGAAAGCCGTGAATCTGCACCACAAATCAACAAGCTCCGAGAGTGGGGCCCCAGACCAGTGCATGTAATCAGATTCTCTTACTTGTCTCCTGCTGCTTGTGGTGGTGGTAAAATAATGGTGCACAGCTGTCCTTACTGTATGCCAGCTTCAGCTCAGCGTTTTACAAGTACGCTCTTTCCTTTAGTCCTGTAGAAACACCTCCAAGGTAGGTGGTCGAAGTGTTCGAATTTGGGGATTCCGAAGATACAGAAGCTAAGTGACTTGCCCAGAGTCACGTAACTTTAGGTGGAGAGTCAGGATATGACCCCAGCTGGTAGGTCGTGCAGCTGCTAAGGAACCGTCACGCCTCTGACCAGGCTGAGTGCTGGAACGGAGGCCTGAGGAGGGTCCCGCATGGGAGGGAGCATCCAGCCTTGCCTCCAGGTCGGAGCAGAAATGCCCTGTAAACTAGTTCCCTTAGCACTGTGGACTCAGTGCAGCTGACCCGCCAGTAAGAGAAAGTACCCGATAAATAAAGATTCACCGCTCCGTGCCTAAAGCCCATTCTTCCAAACCCAGCCTCCATGGGCTGTCAGGTGGCCATGTCAGGGCTGGAGGCATACTGGACATCCTGAACTAGAACCTCATCTCCTTGTCCGCAGGCCACAGCAACTGCCAACTTCAGTGTTTGCTACTTTCTAGGAAAAATACCTTGGCGGGCTAAGCTAAGTAATTTGGGAATCTCCAGAAATTTCCCTAAAAAGGCCTAAGACAGACCTGCTTCTTTCCGTCTTAGCAGGACACCTCCCAGCGATCTGCTGTAGTGCTCACTGCTGGTGTGCTTGTGGGATATTCCAGGCGTGGCTTTTCACATTGTAGAGAAATTCTAAGATAGGAATTTTGAAAGAACCCATTTTCTTTCTTAATCTCCTTTTGTGCAATTTTGTTTTTATTGTTTTTCTTTCTGCTAGACTCTCAGCCGGAGTTGTACCACCCAGTGAAGAAAGGTTGGTTTTTCAAAGATGTACCCTTTAAGACCTTCATGCCTTCTCACTTCCTCAGCGTGTCAGAAGTTTCATTTTATGTTTCATACCATCACCTGATTTTCCCCCACGTCATTTTCAAACATGGCTAGGAGGGAGCCAGCGACACCTGCCTTCTGTGTTGCTGTCCCGTCAGCTTGACCTCTGGCACTTAGAATGGTGGTTTCCATCATGTTCGTGGTGTGGTTGTCCTCAGCTTTCCTTTAAAATAGGTATTTTCATAAATCCTTTTAAGCTGGCAGACTTCTTTTTTTATTGTACTTCAGGTGAAGGTTTACAGAACAAATAGTTTCTCATTAAACAGTTAGTACACTTACTGTTTTATGACATTGGTTAACAACCCCATGACATGTCAACCCTCTCCCTTCTCAACTTTTTTTTTTTTTTTGGTGAAAATATACATAGCCAAAGATACACCATTTCAAAAATTTCTACATGTACAATTCAGTGACATCGATTACGTTCTTCCAGTTGTGCTGCTATTCTCACTTTAGATGAAGGTTTACAGAACAAAATAGTTTCTCATTAAACAGTACACATGTGCCCTATGACAATGGTTAACAACCCCACTACATGTCAACACCGTCCTTACTCAACCTTGGGCTCCCTATCACCAGCTTTCCTGTCCCCTTCTGCTGGCAGACTTTTAAAAACATATCCATTTTAAACAGATTGGTTGGAATTGAAGCTAGTTTCTGTAAAAATATGCTTCGTTTACAGTCAGGTGGAGACTCTCTTTCTTTTACCCTTCTTTTTTCTCTGCTGCTCCCGCTTACATCTTTCTTTGTTTTTAGATATCGTTTGCCCTTTGCCTTCACCATTTATCTCATATCCCCTGACTTGTAACATTCCTCAGAACATTAAAAGCTGATGAATGAAACAGATGGACACAGGTTAACTCCTGTAGCAAGCCTCCAAATTTTCAGAAAGAGTTAACAGTATGCAAAGTACTGTGCTCAGTGCTTTGCATACTTGATCTCATTTAATCCCCTAAACGCCCCTTGGGTAGGGTTTTTCTCATAGATTAGGCAGTTGAAGAAGCCTCAGAGATTACATGGTTTGCTCAAAGTCATGCGTTTGTAAGTGGGGGAACTAGGATTTGAACCCAGTTCCCTGTGTCTTCAAAGCCCACACTACTTCTAGTACATAAAGGCCCGTGTCGGCCGCTGAATTCTCCCAGGCTGTTGAGGGAACAAGTCGAGACGTTCCCTAATTCTTCGTGTGTATTTTACGAGCCCACTCTTGGCTGTGGCGAACTGATCATGGACAAGCAGTGTTCTGGGTTATGCCACAGCTGGTTCTCAGAGCGTACCGATGTGATCTGAATCTTCTAAAAATCACCTGTATGTAAACGCTTTGTTTTCTTCTACTTGAGTATGCTGCCTGCTGTAGGTCACTGTGTTAACATTCCTCTGAACACATATTTGAAATGTTTATGGCTAAAAAGGAATTTTCTGGAACTCTGACTGTAGCCCTTATGCTTCAGCTGTTAGTGTTTGGAATAATTTAACTATTAACTAACTCTGGGTCTCTTGAAATCTCTTGTGTATCCATTCCATAAACCAAAGTGTTTTGGTCAGTGTTTAAGGAACACTTAGGTTATACCACAAAAAAAATCTTAGAATAGTCTGGACTGATAATAGAACTTTCAATTAGTTGGCTTAGTGACACATTATTTTTTTAATAGGATCCTACCATTAGAGGTAACTGAGCTTTAAAATTCTGAAGGGTCGAGCAAGAAAAAGAAAGTAGCTCAGAATTTATTAGGCTTGATCATCCTTCCTAAGGCAATCCTTTTCGGATTCCGCCTTCTCAGGTGGTTGGAGTACAATATTGCTATTTTCTTGGCATTTTGGGACTGCAAAACCACCCCTAGTTTAACTTGCCAGAGAGGCAAGCCTGCAATTCTTCTTTAAAAGGAAAGCTTTAGGGTGGGAAATTGCATCATTTTTGGCTGCATTATAATGAGTTAATGCACTGTGCATTAGCCAGCCTGCAAGCTCAGCCTGTGGTGGATGTTAGTAATTGCTCTGTGTTAAGAGCCAGAAAGCTTGGTGTGATTAGGCCTTGTGTCGTTGTCTTTGAGGAGCCCGTCAGTGGCAGTGCTTTGCATATACTCATGTTTGAACCTTATTCGTTTGCAGGTAGTCACCTTAAAGGCTCAAATCATAGACATTTATATGGAACTCTGTGTGTTTGTTATTGCTAACAAGTAAGGAGACACATGCTTTGGAGCTAAAAATAGGGAAGATGGCTCCTCGCTGTTCCTCTCCTGGAAAGGTGCTGGGCTCAGCGAGGCCGCATATTAGCTGCCATCACTTAGAGTCCCCACACGTGACGAGGGCTCCGGTGATGTCCGACCTTGACCAGAATAGTGATGCTATTCTTGTTGTGTTCAGAGCCAGGTGCCCTCCCCCTGTGTTGGCGTTCTTCCGGTTTATGGATTGCTACCTTCCTTGTGCATTGTGTGCTAATCATTTCAGATGGGACTATCTGTGATCTAGACACCTTGCTGTTTTCTGAGAGGGTAACAGTCTAGTGGGAGACAGAGAAGAACATCTGTAATTACAAACTGTGGTTATAAGTGCTGTCGCCTGGAAATGTCTCCCGAGAGAAGCAAAAACTTGAAGGATGAATAGGAGGGTCTTGAGGTCGGGGAGGGTATTGCAGGTGGAAAGAGCTGCCTGTGGGATTAAGTACGATGCTGGAGGCAAATCTGCGGATTCATTGCTGGTGTAAGTTTCTTTAGCCATTCAGAAGGAACACATTTTGCTGAAGGAGTAAGGTGTGGGGTGATAGGGTGTGTCACATAAGGGGGTTACATGTTTTTCCATGGTGGAATGCCTTTGGACTCAGCTTCTCACAACAGACATTGTTTTCTGGAGCTCCCCTTCCATTTTTCCAAGTGGGAGTCAAGTCCACACTCTGTCCCCCTCATTATGCCCATCGGCCCTCTGGAGAAAGCCTGTACCACTCATCCTTACAGAGCGCGGCGCATCCTCAGCAGTGTGACCCGAGTAGCATATTGAGTAGCCTCCCCGGCCCTCACGAGCGAGTTTGCTGCTTTTGTGAGATCGGCACCAGGTCTCAGCCCCATCCTCTCTGTCCGCATAGGATCTGGAGCGGAAGAGCAGGACAGAGGACTGATAGGTGCTGAAGAAAAAGCGATTAACAGTAAGAGTGAAGTGGACGAGAATATGGTGAGCCGCTTCTCTTTTCTGCCCTGCACGTTTTCATTGTGAGAGTAATTAGAGTGAGTGACATTGTTTTAGATGCTTTCTGGATGACCCCCACATGGTAGAAGATTGGTGGGCTCAGACTGCTCCCACAGATAAGCTGTGTTGTTCAGAATCTGAGTATGAAAAGGAATAAACCTTTTCCAGCAGTGGCTCATCTCTTGCTGTATAATAGGAAAATACCTTTGTGACTAAAGATAGGAATAACATTTTACAGGCTATTTTCAAATGAGTAGAAATTTAATAACTTGAAAATGGGATGGAGTTGGGTTTGGTTCTCATACTGCCTTAGGTTTATACCTCCTGTTATCCTTCTGAAGGAGCCCTGGTGGTTCAGTGGTTAAAGCACCTGGCTGCTAAGGGAAAGGTAAGCGGTTCAAACCCACCAGCCACTCCGTGGGAGAAAAGACCTGGCAATCTGCTCCCATAAAGATGACAGCTTAGGAAACCCTATGGGGCAGTTCTCCTCTGTCCTGTAGGATTGCTATGAGTCAGAATCGACTCGGCAGCACACAGCAACAACAGTTATCCTTTTAAGGAGCCCTTGTGGCACAAAGGTTAAGTGCTTGGCTGCTAACCGAAAGATCGGCGGTTTGAACCTACCAGCTCCTCCTCGGGAGAAAAGACCTGGCGATCTGCTTCCGTAAAGATTGCAGCCTAAGAAGTCCCATGGGGGCAGTTCTCTGATCTGTAGGATCACAGTGAGTCAGAATCAGCTGAATGGCACACACAAACAACAAAATAATCCTTCTAGCATTTTCCATCACTTGTGTTTCTGGATTATCCTTGACTGAGTTTGATGTCAGCCTGGCTTCTTGATCATCTGTCCTGAAATATCTCCCCATAGCAGTTCCCTAAAGGAAAATGCATGTGAAGCCCCTGTAGGACCAGCTGCTGCACAGTAATCTTGCAGCCACACTTGCCTCTTCATTTAGGGATCTAGGGAGTGGATGTGGGTGAATGTGACGGAACTGTCGTTGGTGAGTTGGCGTCCAGGGGCGTGAGTAGAGTGGAGAAGAAGCACTTTCATCTATACTCAGTTTCCCCTGACAGTGTCGTGTCTGTCCCAGGTCATCGACGAGACACTGGATGTTAAGGAAATGATCTTCAATGCCGAGAGAGTCGGAGGCCTTCAGGAAGAGCCGGTACGTATTTGGTTCCAGAGCCTGCTGCCGGATCTCATTTCCACCCCAGCTATTTCTCCTTCCTGCCTTCTCAGTTCAAATAGAAAATGAGAGAGATGCCTGATCTCTTAATGTAACAAAGGTCCCCTCATCCCCGTTTTCCCCACACTTTTGAGTAAGAAAGCTAAACTTAAAACTTCCGCGCAGTTGGGAAGAAGTGGGAGTTTTCCCCCCGTGAGCAGCTGCCTGAGAAGCAGCACCTTGATGCTGCTTTGGGTTTGAGACATCCTGTGAAGGGGTGTGGGCTTGGTTTGTTTATTCACTTCTTCACAGTTGCAGGCTTTGAACAGTGTACAGATGGCCACTTCACTGGGGCTTCTTTCTGCATTGGGTTTGTCATTGCAGGAGTCCGTGGGGCCGCTGCGGGAGGACTTCAGCCTGAGCAGTAGTGCTCTCATTGGCCTGCTGGTCATTGCGGTGGCCATTGCCACCATCATAGTCATCAGCCTGGTGATGCTGAGGAAGAGACAGTACGGCACCATCAGCCATGGCATCGTGGAGGTAGGGACGGGGGGCTTCTTTTGGCCTGGCCCCCCCACTGGCAAGGGCTTGCTCTGGGCTGTAGCCTCCTGGGGGCTGGGCAGGGGTGAACTGTATGGAATTCAGTGTGATGGCTTGAGTGCTGGACACACTGCTGTCATCAGGTAAATTACTCACTGGATTATTAGGTCATGTTCTGGAAGTCAGTCAGAGCTGAATGATGTTCATCCTATCCTGAGGGCTGTAGCCAGCTTGGACATTAATCTGGGTTTTGACTGTGAACGCCAGAACTCCGTGAAGACATTGATCTCACTTAGGGTGAGAACAGTGTTCTTTTTAGGGTTTCCTTTTTTCCAGGCATGTTAGATGTTTGCAAACGAAGGACTGATAATATTCTTTTTTAATGGGGAAAAAAAGGAAAAGGAAATTTAGAAATAGCCAAAGCAGGCTGTTTCTGTCCATCTGATTTATAATCAGAACTTTCTGCCACTTTCTTTAGTGCATGGCAGGAATGGTCAGAATCTCTTGATTTAGAATGCAAATACAATAAACATGAAAGGCTTTGGAAACATACTTCAGATGCATGTCTTAGTTATTTGGTTTTATCTTCTGCTGTAGACTGAGCTAGATGTAGAGTTTCAGAGCTGGAGGAGACCAGAAAGGAGATTATCTAGTCCAGCTCCTACCTTTATAGATGAGTGGTTCGTTTGACTGATTTCTCCTCCTTGGAGTAAGCTTTTAGGACTCTAGCTTTCAAAAACATTGCCTCCTTTTACTTTTTTTTTTTTTCTTTTTTCCTTTTTTTTTTTTTTCCTTTCCCCTCTGGCATCCTCACCACCATCCAATGAAAAGGGGGCACTGGGCTGCTTTGGGGCCTAGGACGCTGTGCAGCAGATAACTCAGGGCTCCTGGTACGCTATGCAGTTCTCATTGGATGCACCACAGTGACCCTCAGTCTTTGTTCTTCCAGGTTGACCCAATGCTTACTCCAGAAGAGCGGCACTTGAACAAGATGCAGAACCATGGTTATGAAAACCCGACCTACAAGTACCTGGAGCAGATGCAGATTTAAGTGAGCTGAAGCATGTGCACTCCTGGTTGGAACGAGGTGGTGCAGGTGGGCCAAAAGAGGTCCAGCATTTTGGATCGACTACTGACCAATGATTGCTTGCGGAGAATTTCATCTTACATTCAGAACTCCTGGGTCATTAAGACTATAAAGTACTACTGTAGAATTGCAATTTCCATTCTTTTAAATGGGTGAGAAATGTTAATATAACTATATGATATATAAACCTTATGTGAAAAAATGATCTATTGCAGATATTTGACTGATGTAGTGTTCTTTTTTAAATTAATCAGAAATCCAGTTCTATTGTCTCACACATGCTCTCTATATAAAAGGAAAATGTTCCAGTTGCATTGTGTAAATCAACTCTTTAAGGCTCGCTCAGTGTCCTGATTTTTATTTAGAAAAATTAAAAAGGCAGTATTCCCTCTTTAAATGAGTTTCAGAACCTTGCTGAGAAGCTAAATGAAACAGGGAGCTAGAACTGAGCATTGAAGCACATCATGGCACCCTCTGAAAAATGATTTTTGAGTCTGGTGCTTTCACTGCTGGGTAACGTGGTGTTCTCCATACACGTCCTGTTCCCGAGGAGTTGGAAGGCATTTAGTTCCAGCATCTTCTAGTGAGCCTAATGTACACAGATTAGGGTCTCCACTGCTGCTTTCCTTCTGAATCCAATTCTTCCACAGAAACTAGCCTGTAGTTGTGTATGACATTCTCCTGCTAGTCATCGTTAGTCCCCTTCCAGGTAACGATCAAATGTGATGTCGTTTTCCTCTTTGGACTGTCCGCCCCCACACCCGTTTGTATTTCTGCTTCTCTGCCCTCCTTAGCTTGTCACCAGCCTCTGGCATGCCCTCACAGAAGACTGCGTTAAGTAGCTGCTCGTGGCCCAGAATAGAACAGGGGGAGGTTTGCTTTCGTTTGAAAAGAGGATATTCCAAGTTGCACATGAAATTGGATCTGTCAACACTGTGGAAAGCATTAAGGGTTTTGTTTCCTTCACACGTGTCTTTGTAACACTTGTATAGTTGTTGTTGATGCTCACAGCTTTTTCTTCCTTGTTCTGTTGTTTTGTATTTGTTTTTTTAAGCTGAAGGTTCTGGTAACCTGTGGTATATTTTTTTTTCCTTCTATTTTTCTGTGACTGTTTTGTTTTTCCCCTCTTCCTCCCCTTTGACCCTATCCATGTCTCTTACCGCTATGCACAGATGAAACTTCACTTCAAACTCCTTAATATGATCTGTGGAGAATGTACTGTTGAAACACATCAATAAATACTTTAACTTCCACAGAGACTCCTTGGTTTATTCACGCGTGACTGGATCAGCAGTGATGGTGACCGTCCTCCTGCCCGCGGGTACAAGGGATCTTACTTCTGTGAAGAATTACCAAACTTTGAGGCAGAGGCTAAAATTAGTCTATTCAAGCAAGTCGGCTCTTGGGCTTGAATTCCAGTTTTCATTTTAAAGATAAGAGTGAAAGTCTGCTTATGGCGTTTGTCCGGCAGATTTTTTTTAAAATAATTTATTTTTGTTGTTGAGAATATACACAGCAAAAACATACACCAGTTTTGACAGTTTCTAGATGTACAATTCAGTGAAATTGATTACATTCTTCGAGTTGTGCAACCATTCTCACCCTCTTTTTCTGAATTGTTCTTCCCTCATTAACATAAATTCACTGCTCCCTAAGCTTCCTGTCTAATCTTTTGAGTTGCTGTTGTCAATTTGATCCCATATAGATAGATCTTAAATAGCATAATGCTCACGGCAGACATTGTTTACCAGTTAAGTTAAATTATTGTTTGGTTTTAAGAAGACTTCCAGAGATATTTTTGGTTTAAGGTTTAAAGATTATTATCAGGGCAATAGTTTTGTAGTTCATCTAGCCTCCATGGCTCCAGAAAGCCTGGAGTCCGTGAGAATTTGAAATACTATTCTGCGTTTTCAACCTTTTGATCAGGATTCTTCTATAGAACCTTTGATCAAAATGTTCGGTAATGGTCGCCGGGCACCATCCAGTTCTTCTGGTTTGATGGCAAAGGAGGCAGTTGTTTATGGAGGCAATTAGCCACACATGCCATTTCCTCCTTCTATTCCTGACTCCCCTTCCTCTGTTGCTCCAGGTGGATAGAAACCAGTTGTTACACTGTGGATGGCTGCTGGCAAGCTTTTAAGACCCCAGGCACTACACCACTAACTAGAAGATAGAACAGAAGCAGTAAACATGTTATTAGGCCAGTTAACTGGGATGTCCCATGAAACCATCACCCTAAACCTCCAAGGAACCAAATCCCATGAGGTGTTTGTACATAAGCTGCTTCGGCAGCTGCTCTGTTTTTTTGGTCATTATTGTAAATACATCTATCATACAACTTTTGTCACTTCAACTTTTTACAGGTGTACAACTTATTGACAGCAATTACATTGATTGGCTTGCAGCCCTACCCTTAATACATGAGATCTTTCCGTTACCGTAAACTGAAACTCAATACTCCATAAACAATAACCTCCCACCTTTTCTCCCACCCCTGGTAACTACTAAGCTTTGGTCTGTGTACATTTGCCTATTCTTGTCTTTTTATATTTGTATAAGTGAGGTCATATAATATTTGTCCTTTTGTGATTGACTTATTTCACTCAGCATAATGTCTTCAAGCTTCATCCATATTGTAGCATGTATCAAAACTTCATTTCTCCTGCTGGCTGACTAGTATTCCGTTGTATGTATGAACCACATTGTGTGTATCCACTCAACTGTTGATGGGCATTTAGGTTGTTTCCACCTTTTGGCTATTGTGAATAGTGCTGCAGTGAACACTGGTGTATAAGTCTCTTTTTGAGTCTCTGCTTTCAAGCCTTTTGGGTATATACCTAGGAGTGGAATTGCTGGGTCATATGGTAGTTCTGTTTGTAGTTTTTGAGGAATCACACTGTTTCTCGCAGTGGCTGTACCACTCTACATTCCCACCAGCAGTGGATAAGGGTTCCAGTTTCCCCCCATCGTTGCCACCATTGTTTTCCATTTTATTTTTTTTTAATCTTAGCCATCCTGGTAGGAGTGAAATGGCATCTCATTGTAGTTTTGATTTGCGTCTCTCTGATAGCTAATGACATTGAACATCTTTTCATGTGTTTGGTGGCCATTTGAATGTCCTCTTTGGTGAAATGTCTATTTAAGTCCTTTGTCCAGTTTATGATTATTTGTCTTTTTGTCGTTAACTTGTCAAAAGTTTTTTATATATTTTGGTTATGACATTCTTATCAGATATATGGTTTTTGAAGATACTCTCCCAGTTGGTAGCTTGTCGTTTCACTTTTTTGGAGAAGTCTTTTGGTGAACAAGTTTTTAATTTTTATGAGGTCCCATTTATCTCTTCTGCCCTTTGCCGTTTATGTATTTGTTGTTATATCAGATAATCCAATGTCAAAAGCTAGGCCCGACAGTGTTGCCCTGGCGTTTTCTTCTAAGAATTGTATGGTTTTAACTTTCACATTTAGGCCCTTAATCCATTTTGAATTTGGTTTTGTGTATGGCATGAGACATGGATCCTGTTTCATTTTTGTCTGGCAAATTTTATTTCACCCCTTGATATTTATTTATATGAGACTTTTTTTTATGATACTGGAAGCAGTGAGCAAGACTTGTAACTGAACTTCCAGAGAAGTGTTTGCCGCCTGCGTTTCTGGAGTACTCTGTCACCAGGAAACCGTGTGTTTTCATAGAAGGAGCTGTTTGGTACTCAGAGCTCTCTGTGTACTTGAGGGTGCTTATTAAGTTACTTTCAGTAGTGATCTGAGCTTTTTCAGTGCCTGTTAAATGTGTAACAATGAATTCTGGGGCTAAGAGTCCATTTGGGAGAGCTAGGTTGAGTTCCCGGCCAGTACACCTTGGCAGCCACCACGTGTCTGTCACTGGAGGCCGGCGTGTTGCTACGATCCTGAACGAGTTTCAGCAGAGCTTCCACACTAAGACAGGCTAGGAAGAAAGGCCTAGTGATCTGCTTCCCAAAAGCAGCCAATGAAAACTCTGTGAATCACCATGGTCCGATCCACAACCGATCAAGAGACGGTGCAGGACCAGACAGTGTTTCATTGTGTTGTGAATGGGGTCACCATGAGTTGAGGACCAACTTGATGGCAGCTAATAACAGTGACAATCTTCTCAGAGTCCCCCCCCCCCACCCCAGTTAATGCCAGTTTAAATATGTGCTTCAGTTCTGAAGGTGATACATACGTGTGTGTAAGTGTATACGCGTATGTGACATGTTTCCCAAGAAGACCGGACTAGGGAGTGCATGTTTTATGAGCCGTGAGCCAGGAAACACCTGAAGGGTGGACCAGTCCAACAGGCTGGTCCTCTCTACTGATCAGCATTTCCCTGTCAGCCTGTCCTGCCCTGGCCACTTAGCTGCTGCCGGGAAGATCATGAAGAAGATGACGTTTTCGTGTGTATTTGAAACCAGTTTCTGTCCAAGGGCTCTGAAGAACTGATCCTCCTCAGTTTTAGCTGGAATATGTGGCTCTAGCAGCGTTTGTTACCTCATTCCCAGTCTAGCAGACCAGCTTCATTTTTCCTGGTGTCTGCCATCTGCTCATCTCTTTTAATTTTCTTAACCTTTTCATGTTAGCATGTTGTCAGTTGCCATTAAGTAAGACCCCAACTTGTGACAACTCCATGCACAATGAAACAAAAGGCTGCCCTTTTCTACACTGTCCCCATGGTCAGTTGAGGTATAGCATAGGTATTCTTATTTTACAGAAAACGGATGGAGCAGAGGTCCAAACCCAGCTCAGTGTGACTGCAGAGTCCACAGTCGTTCTTGTTCAGTGCTGGAAGGCAGTGGGCCAGGGCTCACCATAAATGCTGGTGACTGTCAGGCAGAGTGGTTTAGAACTTGGCTGCTAACCAAAAGGTCAGCAGTTCGAATCCACCAGTCGCTCCTTGGAAACAATGGGGCAGTTCTACTCTGTCCTCTAGAGTCACTATGAGTCGAAATCAATTCAGTGGCAACGGGTTTGTTTCTCTTTTTTTCAGTTAGTACCAGTATCCAACTGGTATCAGAACTTCTGTCCACGGACAGCTCTCCGGTTGCTAATGGGCCTCGGGGAGATTTGGGGCTGGTGACGTTACAGTGGTCTCTGTGTACCTGTTACCCAAACAGGGCAAGTACAGAGACAGCCCGGTTAGAATGTAGGAGTCACGGCAGCTAGTCTCACAGACTGTCCTTACTCGCACATATTTGCTTTGTGCTAAGCAAAAGGTCAGCAATTCAAATCCACCAGCCACTCCTTGGAAACCCCGTGGGGCAGTTCTCCTCTGTCGCATAGGGTCGCTATGAGTCAGAATCGACAGCAACAGGTTTTTTTTTTTTTTTAAAGTAGTATGGGTTAATCAAATACACCTGGGTTTTTAATACAGCAAGATGAGGTAGATAAAGCTGCAGATGCAGATACACATATATGGTAGCTGTATAGAGGTTTGGGGTCCCTGGGTGGCACAAACAGTCAGTGTTCTCAGCTGCTAACCTAAAGGTTAGTGGTTTTAGTCTACCAGAGGCGCCTCAGATAAAAGGCCTGATGATCTACTTCCCCAAAATCAAACCATTGAAAACCCGTGGAGGACAGCTCTGCAGAGCCCACGGGGTGGCCATGAGTCGGAATCCACTCAACAGGACTGGTTTGGTTTTTATATAGAGATTACGTTTTCTAGTTTGAGGAGGAAACACTCGAGGAAATGTGTGTGTGGCAGGGACTGCCTGTAGGCCTCACCCTAGGCCAGCTCTGCTCTGCTCCCTGGTGGCCCAGGACTGAGAGGTAGTTTGCCTTTCAGTGACTCAGCTGTGACCTCAGGAATGTGGCCCTGCCCACCTCCCTGTCAGCTTCAGGTACTTGCAGCTCCCAGCTGACTGGGTGCTGAGGTCCTCCTGCCTCCCTATCTGCTTCTCTCAGTTACACCTCAGCCCAGCAGCTGCAGTCTAGGCCAGCCCCAGGTGTCTGGGTAATCTGCCCTGGTTTCAGTTGCTGTGATAACTAACGCTTATTTTAGGAGTCGCAGATTAGCATGTAATGAGATCTTAAGATTTAGGGAGGCCTAGGGCCCACTCTAACAGGAGCGTACTATCTTAGGTTTTCCATGAGAAGTTATGTGGTGGACATGGGCAAAATGGGTAAAGGAACTAAAGGGACCAATGGCTCCCCCTCTCATCTTACAGTGCAAACACGAGCACATGCCGTGTGCTATTTAATGGTCGAACCAGAGTCTGGTGTGTGCAACAGGTTCTTTGTTC